GCGGGCGCTGTCCCTGCCAGGCCCCGGCAGGTCACTTGTGCCGCTGAGCCGTCTTCTTCCTTTTCCTCTTAAAGAAGCAGCAGCACCTGGAGCACAAAGAACAAGGCAAGTCAGCGCCGCGCTGCCGCCCATGCGGCCCCGCTCGCGTGTAACATGCACCCCTCAGCACCAGGCCCTCTGCCTCTAGATGCTTCCCTGGGACGGGAACACCCGGAGCCGTGCGGGAAAGCGGCAGAGCCGGATTCTCCGCTCCCGCTGTCCGAAGCCCCGAGGAGCGTCCGGACAGCGAGTCCTCCCTGCTGCGAGGCACTCGTGCCTTGAACACCGTCCGCTCACGAGTCCCTTGGACGTGTTTGGAAGCGTTTGTGCCTCGGGGGCCAGGTCTCTGCACTGAGCCTTTCCCAATAACCTTCACTAAATCATTCCGTGCACTTATGCTTATCTCCTGCTTCTTCCCCCATCCACTGCAGGATGGACACGGCATTCGAGGATCAGGGAAGCAAAAGGATGGATAGAAGAGACTGAGGTGGTGAGAAAAACAGCACAGCTGAACCTCCCACGGCAGAGGTTTCCCTCGAGGGTTGTACTGAAGGCAATCGCCTGCTTTCTACTCCTGTCCTTACAGAAGGACTCGGCCTTTAGGGCCTGTCTGTATTTCTGTCCTCAGTCTCCCTCCAACAGAAGTCCTCCGCACAGAGAGGACAGTCTTGTCCTTTGCAAACTCTGCTCCTGAGCTACCTGTTTTTCCCCTTCTGCCATTACAGCTGTCTCCACAGGAGCCCAGGTGATGCTGAAACAGCACGGGTTTTTCAGGCTGGTGGAAGGGACGTGTAGCTAAGCAACAAGAGCAGATGTGACTCTGCAAAGACCATTTTTCCCCCACACAAGCACCTTTTACCAATAGTCAGACCCAAAGCGCTCCAAACACTTTCTGTAACAACATCCCCAAGTTATTTGCTGCCAGATACACTCTGAAATGTTGCACTAAACTCCTGTCCTCTCAGAGCTGCAGGCACACCGATCTCCTCACTTGCACCCCAGCAGCCTCCTGAAACACAAGCCTGGCTCTGGGGTGCAGAAGTGATGTGTGACCAGTACGACGTAGGAACAAAGCACGCCAGCCCAAATCGTCTGCTGGGGAGACCGAAATTCCCTACAACACACAGAGGTGGAAGATGCAGGAGCAACAGGAGGGTGACCTCCCACCACATGTCCATCCGTCCTGCAAGGCCTGAGACCCAGAAGAAGTTTAATGTCTGTGATTGGCCTTTGGGTGCTTCCTAGGAACTCCTCATAGGCTCAGTTTGGAGACAGGCCAAGAAAAATACAAAAGCACTTGTCCTCCCAGGAGCCTTCCTGAACGCAGCTTCCTGGGCATCACAGGCCAGGGACTACTGGTGCCCTCTCAGCCGCCCGCTCCGGGACTGTGTTGCACTTCAGGCCATCCGCCGCCCTCTCTGGTTTTCCCCCTCACACTGCTCCGCTCCCACGGCGGCCGCCTGCCTTCATGACTCGGGTGCCCGTCAGTAGGAGGGGATAATTACGGGGAGAGATGACAGAAAACGCACGAGTTATGATTTCACATGCACCCGCGAAGGGGAGAAGAGGGCTGAGCAGAAGCCCTTTCCTGGGGCGCTGGCAGGATGGAGCTGACTGACTTTGGGCTGCTGTTCCTTGTGTCTGGCTGTTGCCACTGTCACTCAGAGGCCCGGGAAGGGTTCAGGGAAGGAAGCCCTGGCAGTTCAGACAGGCAGAGGCAGAACACCAAAAGAAAAGAACAAGGCAGGCCGACAAGTACAGAACGTGGTCTCTGTGCATGCAGACAAGGCCCAAGAGAACAGCTCCAGACTATGACGTACAGAGAAGCCAGAGATGCCAGAGGAGGAGGCAATGCCTATGGAGAGAAGGGCAGAGAAGGGTCTCTCTGTCATCAAACAAGGACCTTCTTCAGCACATGGGGGGCTTCTGAGCCAGTCCCACGTTGCACCTCGATCCACAGCAATTCCTGCTCATCAGCACCCCAGAAGGGCACCTGCCCCTGCAGCCTCCTCCCGCGAGCCTCATCGTGGGCCTCCCTTTCCTCCGCAGCGCTGGGTAAGCTGCCCTGCAGCTGCAGAAAGGGGCAAGGCAGGGAGCAAACGCTCCGCAGGGCTCCTTGAGCCTGGAACTACAGCTGTAACTTGGAAAGTGTGGAAAATTGTACATATACCTGAGTTGGACTTGCAAAAAGGTTAATGCCAACCTCCCTGCCCCTCTGCAACCAACTCTTACCAAGAAGCCAGTTGAGCTGTGCTCTCAGCTGGCAGCTGCAGGGTGGTTTTTCCCCCTACTCCTCGGCTTGGAAAGTAGCCCTTTCCCACCAGCTCGCTCTGAGCGGTGGCTTTAGCTGGAGATCTATCCACAAACCTACAACCTTCACATGCTCTAATAAGGGGAGCCCCAGCCCGCATCCCCTTCATGTGAACCTCATCTAGGAAGCCATTGCCCTCCTGTCCTCAATAACCAGGTTTTCCCTTCGTAACCGTCTGCGTGAGGAATTCCTGCGAGATGCTCGGCAAGCCTGGTCCCGACTCTGCCCAACTCCGTTAGACATCACCTGCTCAAGGACATAACAGTTTGGGGGGGAGATGGTAAAAGCCGAATTGAGAATCTGTCTTTGCAAAGATCAGCTCAGAGATCAGCCCAATTGCTCGGCCTCATGTGGCCTCTCAAACAACCCCCGCGCCCCCCACTATTGTATGAAGTTCTTGGTCATAAATCAGAACAGCCCTGGGTTGGCTTTTTGAGTTTGTGCCTTTTTTTTTCTTTTTCTTTTTCTTTTTCTTTTTCTTTTTTTTTTTTTTAATTTTTGTGGCTTGGTTGGTTTGCTTTTGCCAACCCCAGTCTAGTCTGGTCCGCTCCCCCTGGCACGTGGACTGGAGAGAGGGACTCACCACAAGTTGAGCATTTTCAGGCAGCTACAGAGAGTGTAGAGAAAAAAAAAAACACAGAAAGGAAGAAAGAGCAATTAGTTCACAGAGGTGGGATGGAAGCAGGTCGCTGCAGCCATGCACACATGCAGTGCGGCCGCCCGCCCACCCCAGCACTCACACCAACCACCTCTGCCCTGGCTGCCGCGCTGCTCCCAACTGCCCTGTCCTCCAGGGGCTCACACAAACGTCCCGCTCTGTCCCCAAGGGGGTGCTTTTATTCCAGGGCTAGGAACGGAAAAGGGGCTCTAGGCCAGCAGAAGATACTGCTCGATTCCCTGCGGCTCCTGAGAGAAAAAGGCTGGATTGCAGAGCGACGTGTGTGACCTGTGGGATCTGCAGCGCACAGCAAAGCGGAGGCGCTGCCACACTGCCCCTGCCTCCAGGAGAGCCAGGACTGTCCTCCCAAACGCACAGCCCCAGACCCCGGCTGCCTCTGGTTCACCTTACTGCAGAGCAGTTACTCGAGCCCAAAGAGCCTCTGCCCTCCTCTCCTAGCTCAGGGGTTCTACAATCCCAGCTGCAAGGAGAGACGATGGCGGTCGCACACGGGGCTGGGGGAATGAAGCAGGCTGCACTCGGGAACGAGGCAGCAGCTCCTGACGGTGCAAAGCCGCCTGTGCTCAACTTCATAATAAACTCTTACACCCTTCAAAACCAAATCTGAAGCACCCAAACAGGGCCTGGGATGCCGTATCAAGAACAGTTTAGGATGGTGACTTGTCCCGGCCATTCTAGGTGCCAACCCCAGGCTACTCAAGGCCCCACTTCGGTCATTCAGAGCAAGATGGAGCCTGCAACGCCAAACCCGTGGCCTCCGCAGGCCACACTACCTGCAGTTTATATTGCCCGTTCTGCAAGCTGCATTTGCAGACCTCCTCATCTCTGCTGTACTTTATGAGAAGCCTGTAGCAAAACCAAAGCTCGCTCTTTTGGCTGGAAGGAGAGAGCATATTCACTGCTGGGAGAGGTCACTGTGGGGATCAACCCTGGCCAGATCCAGCAGAAGTGCTTCCTGAGGGACGGAGGGATGGACAGTGGAAGACATTTACCTTCAGGACCGCAGGAATAAGATGGGAGACCAGCACTGGCTCCGGCTTCATACGCACCCAGGGACCGTTCCCATCAGCTCCCACTTAACACGCCTGCAGTTCTTCCTTTTTACCCTCTAAGTCTTCCCTACCGCAAGTGCCCGTAGAAGCTACAGACAACCAAGGTGGGACAAGCAACGATGCCATCAAGTCAAATTAGAGCCAGACAGTGGCACAACGTCATGGCAGCAACCACTTCAAAGCAGCCCCGGGATGTATTTACCCCTCGAATGGGGATGTGAACATTACGCTGTGCCCTCCTAGGCTCCAAGGACAGCTCAGAGGCAGCGAGAGGGTCCCACTTTGAAGATCATGCAGAAGGTGACATGATGGTGCCAGATGCAGTGCTGGTGCAAAGAAGGCCAAAACGGTCAAATGGCAGGACAATTTTGTACACCGGTTCTTACTCTTCACTGCCAGCTGCAGAGGGCTGCTCCTGCTTGCTGCGGCCCGCACAAAGCGAGCAGGCCGTTCAGCACAAGCAGGATGGCCATTCTGGATCCTCCCTCATTCAGCTTCCACTGGGCTGGACCAAGACAACTCACACAGAAAACTACACATTCCTGCAAGAGTTACTTTAGGACCAAGAGTTACTTTTAAGTCTCTGCTTCTTGCGGCCAGAAATAAAGTGTTAACTTTCAGACCAACAATTCCTCCACTGAGCCGTGCTCAAGCTACTCCTACACTCTCAGCATGAGAGTACAATGCGTTCTCCTTTTGGAACAGGGGATGCTCACCAGGCTTCCTGAGATCAATCCACATTATTTTGGTAATTGTGCTACCACCCTGCTTCACAGTACATGCTCGGATTAAGAGTTATGTTCTTGGGCCATGACACGTGTAAAAAGCAGCAGCAGCACGGAGGGTACCATGCACAAAAGCAGCGATATGCAGGAAAAGGTCATGGGACACAGGCACCAAGTACTTCACCACGGGTAAAAAGCCCCACTCATTTCAAAGGAGGAGGATTAACCACCACACCAGTGGAAAGCCTTCGTAAAGCAAACGTACTTAGCCTCCTCCACCACTTCCACTTCTGCCTGCGCCGTTATCGGGGCGTTGGAGTGGGCCCCCGTCGGGTCATCGACGTTCAGCTCCCCGTTGGTCGAGCTGACCACCTGAAACACAAACGAGCGGCCCGTTAATGAAGCCCAGCAGAGTTTGCCTGCATGCAATACAGCTCCAGCTGCCTGGGCAAGGGGTGTTGCAGCAGTGGGAAGTCTGTGGACCAACTCCTCTTTGCTCTGGTCTCTCTACTCGTTACTGTGGGACTCCCTGGATGCCCGTAAACCACGAGCTTGTTTCCAGCAGTCCACTGAGGAGACTGGTCTGCTTTGCCCCAAGCAGAACAGCAGGTAGGGGACTCCATGCTCACTAGTTCACTCCACTTCTGTAGCCAGCACACGTCTCCACGATGCCTTTGGGAAGCTCCCCTACAGTTTGCTTTCCTTCCACCCGGATTTTAGGAGGAAAAAGGAGCGTGAAGACTGATTGACAGCCTCATATATTTGCAAACTGTATTTTTATGCTGACTGTTTGCTTCTGACTTCTTCAGAGCAGTCCTTCTAAGAAGGACACTACCTTCTGTGAAGGACACTAGGACTAGCAGTCCTTTTAAGAAGGACACAGTCCTCCTAAGAAGGACAGTACCATGACAATTGAAGCATCCAGCACTGCACTGGCTGTAGAAAGCGGGGACACTTCTTGGGAAGGTCAAGTGAAAACCTGCATATAGAGGCACCAAGAAATCCCTAGGACATGGGCCAAGGCCTGTGAGGGACTTGGCGCTGTTGCCTGTCATTATCACGGGAAGAACTCACTCCATAACCCTCAACTCCCCATTCCTTACACGGTCAGTTCCTGGGATTACTTCACTGCCCAAAGGTATTTGCCAGTGATAGGACAAGGGGTAATGGGTACAAGCTGAAACTCAGCAAGTTCCATCTCCATATCAGGAAAAACTTCTTTCCTGTGAGGGTGCCAAAGCCCTGGCACAGGCTGCCCAGACAGGCTGTGGAGTCTCCTTCTCCGGAGATCTTCCAAACCCGCCTGGATGCCACCCTGTGCCCCGTGCTCTGGGTGTCCCTGCTGGAGCAGGGGGTTGGCCTAGATGATCTCTAGAGGTCCCTTCCAACCTCAACCATTCTGTGATTTTGTGATTTCGTATTTATATGGTCTCTAATCTCCTTTGCTTTGCAGTTTATGTCACAGATTACTTGAATGCTTTCACAGGGTTACCACCAGCTGTCAGGAGCCAGGGGTGCGTTAGCCAGGAGAGCACGTAATGTTCTGGATAATTCACGATCACTCTGCTGCCAGTGGGACTGCAGCAGTGGCCAACAAACAAGTCCAAATCAGGCTGAAGATCAACCAGCCCTTCCATGCTTCCCCTGCAAGGTAGGACGGGCTTCTTGGGTACTGCCGTGAACACCTGCAGGAGCTGTAGAGACGTGTGGCTGCCCTCATCCTCCACCTCTTTGCCTTTCTACAAGGTAAAAGGAGGTACCTCACATCGTGGAGTTCCAGTCTTCAGGAGAGTTAGCAGCTGAGGTTGTAACTCTGATAACTGAGTCTGGAGGGCCCTACGGTCCGTGCTCATTTCAGGAGTCCAGACGCTACCAGATATTCCCTGGTGGCTGAGGATGACCTAACCACCAGAGATGAAGGGAAGGAAGCCAGAGAAGCAGTACATCTATAAGAATTCTCCTTACTATTAAGTGCCTCTATACATATTTTGAAATCTTAAGTTCTACCAACAGCTGCTGTTTCTGCAGAAATGAAGGCAGAACATGTCCAATGCCTGGCTTCTGCCAAGGTAGGTCAGAAATAAGCTCACATATGTTCTTTGGAGCTTTCCTCCCCAGTTATTATCCCTTGGGTCCTCTTGACACCCCCGTCCCAAACTCATTGCACTGCAGGTCTCCGCAGGCTCTCAGGACTCCCACACTTCCCACACAGCTTTGCTCCAACACTAGCAGTAATTGTGCTGTTCCCTGTGATCTTCCTACACTTTCAAAGTCTTTTATAAAATGAAGTTTAACAAGAAGCAGATGAAGATCTTTTTTTTTCTTCCTTTTTTTTTTCTTCCCCCTTTTTTTTTCTTTCCTTTTTTTTTTCCCATTCTGCCACTTTATTCTGATGTGGCAAATTCAACAGTTGCCTTAAAGGAAACATAAAACTACTGACTTCACTGAAGCGTACTGCAGATTCAGCATGAGCATCTGCTGAGAAGCCACTGAGGTGCCCATCTCACTGCAGCCAGAGCAGCCACATGCAGCAGAATATCTGCTATTCCTGGCTGCACGTAAGCACAAGTTTGATGCTTATAATACCATAAACCTGCTTGGAAACGTCTCGGATAGGAGACCCCTATCATCAAAATCCAGACTAGGGCTGCCTTACTGTAGTGGCTATTCCGGCACAGCACTGTTCGTGTGGAGACATGGCTCGTTCTTGCTTTGCATGATTAAACTATTCCCCGATACCAACAAAAACAGCCAGGACAAAGCTACGAAGCTCCTGAGAGATGAGTTCTCTCCTGTCTGCTCTTGTCTGAGATCAGAGCTATCCATACACCCCTTCTTCCTCATCTTTCAATTTCTCAGCCAGTCAGAAAAATATCTTTAAAAAAGTAACTTGGTTAATGAAGCCCCAAAAAGGCACTGAAGCCAACCCAGTATGAAGAACAATGCAAAACTTCCAGCTAATCTGATATTTTCCCCTACGGGCATCTTGTTCTGTCTCCAAAAGCCTCAAGGCTGCGAAGTTTTGCCTCTTGGGGCAGCTGCTCTCCATATAGACTTCTGGCAAGAGGGGCAATTCTAGTGTCAACGGCCCAACGGAGCTGAGCGTTCCCAGCCAGGAAAGGGAACCTTGAGCAACCACCACGTGTGCCTTTGGAGCAGGGAGAAACAGCAACCTGTCCTACGCACCTCAGCGGAGAGTGTGGCCTCATGTGGCTTCCAATATGGATGCATATGCCAGGCGGTATTCGGCTTTTTCCAAGCACTCGGTCTCACACAGGTTAGTGGTCTCTTAAGATATATTCAGGTAGCTTTTTTTCCCCAAGTTGTCTTGCAGTGAATGCACAATAAACTAGACTATAGCCAAAAATGCACCTACTGCTTTGGCCAGGTCCAGAAAATAAGGCTTCCCGTCTCCTCTGCGCAGCTTTGCCGCACTTGCGGTATTAGTTCCCATTTCACCACAGTTTACAAAGTGATGGTAGGATTGTGTCTGACACAGAGCCTCTCTCAAACTCTTTGACAACCCAAAAAGCTCCTCTTGCCAGCAACATTGGGCACTTCTGGATAACTCCTGTGCCTTCCCACTGGCGTTTCAGGCCATCCTACCCTGGTGGTAGGGCAAGAAGCTCCCTTAGCTCCAGCTCAACAACAGCCAGAGGTGGGTACGTTTGCATAAACAAAACCAGTCCCTTCAGGGATTTCAGAACTTATTTGTGCTGGCACCTTTAATGCTGTCTGTCACTGTTGCTCATGCTCTGCTTCACCTTCTAGACGCATCTACAGCATCCCTGGGGCAGGGGGGAGCTTTATAGACCAGATGGGCAAATATATGCTACTTTCTGCATTCAGCTTGACAGCCAGACAAATCTGAGATCAAAACAGCTCTCAGCGGAAAAGCTTTGCTGAAGAGGTAACAGCAACTGTGTTACAGACACAGCTTGGGTACCCCTAAACTGTGGCTTGAGCATTACATACAGGACTGGGACAACCCAGCCTCCAAAATGACCTTCCTGATGTTTTAACTGGAACTCAGGGAGGCTTCTGGCGGTTTTAGACAGATTCTTACACCAAAGCTGTGCAAGCCAGAGGGAGAAGGTACCTGCACTGATCCTCCGTGCCGGTCTGCAGCCAAATGAGATGTCAGGTACGAGGTATTGGTCTGCCGGTTGGGCTGGATCTCCCACTCTCCTCGGCGATCTGATGGTGCCTGCTCGCAAAGCCAGAGCACGAGAGAAAGAGAAGAGGGGGCACAAGGTGAGTCAGGTGAAGAAGGGAGGGCATGTCTGTTAGTCAGTTAGTTTTTGCTTCGCTTTGTTTTTGCAAAAGGGAGGCATTTAAACATTTCGCTAGGGTAAAATTTTGCTTTAGCAAGTACAGCCTCATAGTCCACTCCACTGGTGTCTGCAGCACTCCACCGCAGAGGCAGATTTCTTCTCCTCTAGCTAATGAATGAAGAGAAAGTTCATATCTGTTCAGGGAGTTGTTTCACTACACGGCTTCGTTTGCACTTTTTTCAGCATAGCAACAAACATACTAACAACACGTTCAACCACATCTGTCAGGACACGCATCAGAGCTCTTCATGTGGCAGCAGGACTGGGGACACAACTGGACTTCCCTAAGATACATATTTCTGGCTCAGGTTTGCAATATAAAATAAACCAAATTTTATTTCAGCAAAATTCAGTTCCACACACTCATTTACCCGCAAGGTGCAGAAGGAAACATCTCCCTTTACTTGACCAAAGGGAGGGTTTGGTCTTTTTTTCCGGGTTTTGTTTTGCTGGGAAAAAGGACAGTAAATGAACTTGCTGTAATAGTTTCTTCTTCATCCAAAATAGCTGCAAACTTTATGCAATGCAAATATTAGAACAATATATTGGATGCAAAAAAGTATGCTGCACATGGGGAAAAAATAAACAAACAAACAAAAAACCCCAAAACCCCAAACCAAAACAACCTGAATATATCTATATGGAATATTCTTTTTGCACTTTTCATGAAGCTATGAAGCAATAACCCTGAAGCAGGTTTTAGGAAAGCAGACACAAAACTCCAGCTAACAACTTGTCACACTTCCCAGCTTTTTACCAGTGTTCATGTTCTTTCTGCCCAAAGCTAATGTATCTTTTTTCTGAGATAAGAACTAGCTATAAAATACAAGGAAACACACTTCTGCTGAACACCCTTTTAGAAATGAATTTTGTTTCTCAGCAAAGCTCCTTGAAGAATAGAACATCAGAGGGAAGAACAACAATCCCTGAGAAATCAAAATGCCTCAGAGGTTTTTGTATTTGCAGAACGATACCCAAGTACAGAAGCACAAGAGCATGACCGCCAAAGCCACTCACAGAGCACTGCTCAGCTCTTGTTCTTCACAAAGAGCTGCATTTCCTTCTGGCCATTTGGCAGTGAGACCTACACACCTCAGCGCATTCAACCAAATTACATGGTTTCCACTCTTTTTTTCTTTTTTTTTTTTTTTTCCCAATGGGAACAGGAGGCAGTCCAGGCTAATCTTTGAGCTTGCACATTCTTTCCCAGAGCAGAAGTATCTACTTGGAGACCCCCAAGTACACATCTAAAGCCAGTCAGGCTGGCCTGACTCTTGGAAACCCTGAGAAATCTTCTATCATGGTCTCAGATATGTCACTCCCCACGATAAAAGGTGAGTTTTCCACATGCAATCCTTCCTGCTTCTTGGAGACCCAAGCTGGAGCTTTTTATGGATCACAGGACACCTCAATGCGTCTTTCACTATATAAAAACAGCAGTTAAATGAATAGTTGGCTGAATTCATCTGGAATATGCCTTGGTAGGTCTAAACCCAAAAGGCTGAACTCTCAGAGGTTTTAGGACTAGAAGATTTATCTTCCCTTTGAACTGATTTTAAGTTTGGAGTTACCAGTTGCAGTTGAGCCATACAGAAGGTCCTGCTCAGTCCCAACAGGGATATTGCTCCCTGGCCTACTGGTTATTTCTGTAGAGATTCTGCTGTGCCTCAGCAGCACGCAGGTCTTGCTTGACACTTATCTATACATGCTTCGTTCCCCTGCATCCTCTCTCAGTGGGAGAATTACACACCTTCCATCTGTTTTATCAGAAAATCCACCTTGCACCTGCAGGTTGAGCTTCTTAGAGGTCACCCGGCACTGAGGAGATAACTCGGCCGGCATTCACCTACACATGGCAGAAGGACCCTGGAAATCTTTTAATAAACTTGTCCAACACTAACTAGCACATCATCACTGAGATAGAACAGGAGCTTCTGCAGAAGGAAGCAGAATAAGGGAGACGTCTGCTCACATTTCTAATGCATTCAGTGTCACTCCCTTTGCAAGGGACCCTCGACTCCCTCCCAAGGGGATGCACGGTGCAGTTCTCCTCTCTTCCAAGCACACAGCAAATCCAATACATGGGAATATCTCCCTGAAGGTGGTCTTGTCCAGGCTTCTTCCTATTTATTCTTCCTCATGTTCCTTCATATGCTGCTGGTATTTTTCTCTCTACTTGGCAACATTCAGGGGAATCGCTGGAGAAGAATTTCCCTTAGATTATATTTTAACTGTGTCAAGGCACAAAATTGTGAACAGCTGGCGAATTCACATGCAGATTTTAAAAGCCAGCAGAAAACACATCTTGAATGCTGTTCTTCACAAAGCACGATGCTATCAGGTGCTTGGCACCCCAGGTGATGAAGCAGCACCAACACGAGGAGAAGCACACGTCGGCCCAGGAGCCTGGAAGCTCTTTCTGGGAAAGGCTTTCGAAGCCACAGAAGCCAGATCTTTTTTTTGGCTCTTCACTCAAGTACTTGATAGGCTTTTAGAAACAGCTTTGAGCTGAGCAGCCCATAGAGCCACTCAAGCAATGACGCTGAGCAAGTGATGCCCGTGAGTCTGGAGAACACTGAGTTCCTGTTACCGCTCTTAACCTTACTACGAGTTCCCAAATAGCAGGAGAAGACTAGCATCTTAAGTGAGGGGCTCCCCAGCCTTAGCTAGACACTAAGTTATCTTCATTTACCACAGGAAAAGGCTAAAAAAAGCAGGTCACTCTTGTGTCCGTGTCTTTACTAGGAAACCAAGTATTACAAAAGAAAGCCTACAGTTATTATACTTGGGATCAGAAATAGAGCACTTAACTCTGGAGATCAAGGTGGTCACTTCACCAAAGCCTGTATCTCCATCCACTGCTCTGGAAGTTTAATTTTTTCCATTTTTTGTTTTCCTGCTTAGAAATGCTTTCCATAACATTTAAAAAGAACAACCCTTGGAAGAGAATTATTTATGCTTTTGCAAGAAGAAACTGATTTTCAGTGCCTTTGGGGAATATTAAGTAATTCAGCATCCTCTATAATGTTTAGGTGAAAAAAAATACAAATGCTGCCATGCAATATAGCATTGAGATTATCTGAGAGCCTCAGAAGAATAAGGATTGGAACTGTCCCAGTGACATTTTTTTCCTGCTAGATACTGTAACTTGTGAACTAACATGCTTGAGAACGAAGCCAGCCATCCCTGTCACCTACAGGAAACAGCGGCCACGTACGTACATAGCATTAAGGTCTGTGGTCAGGAGCAGACAATCAGAAACCGCCACCCAGGAAGGGGTTAATGCATTAATCAGGCAACATATTAAAGCAGATTATTCTAACAGAACTCACATAGCAGTCTGCACTAATAAACACGCATAAATACAGCACTGCACACAAGCTGCAAACTATCCAGCTTCCTACAAGCAGCACATCTAAGGAGGGATATTGGTTCAGATCACATCTGACGGCTTTGGATGTGCTCTAGTCTGGATCAGCTACTCTACCCTTCTGAGTCCAGCTACACGGAGCAAGGAAAGCTGAGCCCAGACAGGTTATTACATCTCACACCTGCTCCTGCAACCACAAAGCCAAGCTCGTGTGAGAACAGAGACGGCCGACAAGGCGCTGGAACAGCACACGGCAGTTAGAGGAGCAGAGCGAGCCCAGAACTGCTCACTGGGAGGTAAGAGCACCGACAGCTCTAACCAGGAGACAGCAGCTGGACATCTACTAAACTTCTGATGAGTTCTGCTAATACAGAAAATCCAGACTCTCAACACCAACAAAATAATATGAGTAGATGGGAAAAAATGGGGGAATTCAGAAACTGGCAGTTCATCTGGACCATGATGACCAGCCTCCCCTCAGGACCCTGCATGGGCAATGCTTTATGCTGCATGATTTGCTCACAGTAGACAGAACTGGACACCCTGTGCTGGATATACTGCGTGTACGAAGGACAAGCATGTCCTTGTTAGGTTTACATGGTCCATGGAAGGTGGCAACTCGGAGTAGGCTGTCTGAGCTAGAACCGTTGCTCTGCTCTACAGCCCATGTGCTAGGAGAAGACAAAAGAAAAGGTTGTTGGCCAGGTAGGTCTTACAGCGTGACAAAGCTGGATAGTGAAGTTAAATAGTTTACCTACCAGCTCCAAAAGTAAGACCTGCTCCCTTTAGTTCAGGAGCAATTCCCCTGGCAGATGCAGTATTTCAACAACTCGCTGCTTCAGCACCATTCCCCTCAAGTCCTGATCTTCCTAGATTCAACAGGAACATGCATGCCATGAACGAGGCAAGAGTTGGCCCTGGCTGTCTCTAAGGCACATGGCCTTCAGCACAGGGCTTCTAATGCTCCAGCCGTTGAGGGACCGAGAGGCACTAACCAATGCAACAGAGCCCAAGCAGTGGGGAGCAACACACCTGATTGCGATGGGCCTGCTGCGATGGTCGATCTCTGTGTATGTGGCTGTCTCTTGTTACTGCAGATGTCCCGGAATCTATGTGAACGGATCCCACTGGAGTAGGCTGGAAAATAAGGTGTTCGTTACGTTGAAGCCAATGTCCACGATAACACTCTCCCTACACCCACGCGTGCGCAAGCAGAACTTGTCAGGTTAGTCGGCATGGTGCAGAAAATAGAGGAACACAACCAAAACACTGCTTCAAGGTACTGACAACAACCAAGCATAATTATAATAATTATAACATGCACTATAAAAACCTCGTGATTTGATGGGTTGCTGGACACCAGCTCTTAACATCTGGTAGAAAGCTGAATTTAAAAGAATACACTCAAGTATCTGGGATCACTGTCAGTGGGTCTCAAAGACAATGATGACACCTGCAACTACACAGATTTCTTCTCGTCGTCTCATTGTCTTCCTGCTTTTAAAAACTACCCTTGCATAGAAACAGGATGTGCTAAAATTGAAGCGTCGTCTGCTCTGTTCTCACCTAAGTCGTAATCTCTGCTCACAACATCAGAATCTCCATAGCAACCACTGCAGTTGTCAGCAATCGCAAGCTTGTCCTACAACAGGCTTTTTATCAATTGCCTTTGTAATTAAACAAGAACGATGTGAAAAATGATGATTTGCAAAGGGAAGGATTGCTTGTTAAAATGAACCTGTTGGGATAAAGTAAACATTGGTAATGCTATATATTGCTGATACTATATTCCTGGCAACTGCATCAAGTTTAGCACCGAAGATGTTTGGCCTGGCACCAGTGACAATTATTTACAGACCCCTTTGTCATGGCCAGGGTGTAGTGCTGTGCTATTAGCATGAAGGCCACCATCAGAACGACACAAACACCAGTGACAGGCCAGGCAGCGTGGACACAAATCACAGAGGCAGCCAGCAGAAGAGCTTTAGACAGCTCTCTCAGATTTCCCCATGACAGCTCTCCTGGTCAAGGTCTTCTTGAATATAAATGGCTTCTGACAACAGAAGCAACACATCAAGATCACATGTTCCATCTAGTCTCACGGAACTGCTAAATGGAGCTTGGATCCTCCCAGATTTCCTGATCATGCACTTTATTTATAGCTGGCAGAGCCTCTGGAGAAGGGATCATTTGAGCTCAGAATGAGTTTGCTGTTACTGTTTGCTGAGCATCCTTCAGAGCCGCACTAAGATCTCCTGTGCTTCTGTATGTGAACTTGACCATTAGAGGGATCTGCCATCATTCAGCGTGGAGCTAGCAATTATGCTCTCATTTTGTAAAATGTCTTTATATAATGATTATAAAGCTCTCAAATTCTGTGCTAGATGAGAGGAAGTTAAATCTCACCCTGTTCACTGTCACAGGTGGTAAAATAAGGTTTGGGTGCTCCACCAAAGCAAGCTCAATGGAGGTGACGGGGCTTCTGCCACTTAGGGAAATGTCAAGGCACTGTGAGAACCCCCTGAATACAACATCAGGACATCTCACTAACAAAGGGCCTACGTTAGCCCGGTAACAGAAGCGAATGATTTGACCCCTAGCTCTGTGGCATTAAACAGGATTGTTGGGAGCAAAGAGCCAGGCGGCCGGAGGCAGGACGTGGAAGGCAAGGCACGGCGTTTTTGCAAGAACAACTTACAATTGGCCTGCCAACCCAGTCATAGATGTAGTCAAAGGTGTAGCCTTTCTTTTCAAACAGCTCTGTGAAGATGGTGCGCAAGTAATCGTAGTCTGGTCTCTCAAAGAAGTCTAATCGCCGAACGTAACGGAGATACGTGGCCATCTCCTCTGTGGGAAAAGAAGCAGCGTCAGGTCAGTGTAAGGCACAAGTGACACGTGCTAGAAAACTGTAGCTTCCCTTTGGAAACATTTAGCTTTTTAAGTAACTCCAAATAGACCTACCCACAGCAACAGTCAAGACTTGCTCTCCAGCTCTTAAATTTGGACCAGGGGCCAGGTCCCCCAGTGTTGTCAGTTGTCCAGGTCCCACTAACTTCAGCTGAGCCACGCAGCTTTATGTAAGCAGAGGATATCCAACAAGTCTTTACCCTTTACGTGACCTACCTGACTCTCTCTTATTGCTGCATGAATCTCACTGAGCTCTCTAGGGCCCTTCTGCTTTGCCCAAAGCCTGCTTTTATTCTGAACCTTTGGAGCTGCTTTAAAACAAACATTGGAACAGGGAAGTGGTGGAGTCACCGTCCCTGGCAGCATTCAAGAAACAGGTAGATGAGGCATTTAGGGACATGGTTTGGCAGGCATGGTGGTGATGGGTTTACAGTTAGACTTGATGACCTTGAAGGTCTTCTCCATTCTATGAACAAGGCCTGTGCTGCATCACCGAGCATCACACAGGGAAGTGTCTGGGCTTCCAGTGCTACTCCTGGCTTTTCTTTAAAATTCATGGGTTTTGGTAATGGCCCTCACCGATCAATTCAAATGCTTCTCAAAGCGGGAAGGTCCGTGCCTGCTCGGGACAACTGCTGTTCCACCTCAGACCTGAATCCAATGCCAATTGTACAATAAATGCCAATTTGCCGAACCAACCACCAGGATGCTGCTCTGTGTGTGTGTGTCTGCCCTCATGGACATTTCAAACAGCTACAGTGATTTCACCTGAATTTTGTGGACAAACACAACCCCACAGCTCTATAACCAACGGGAGAAGGAAAGTCAGGGAGGTTCTTGGTGCGCATGTTGTTCGTTGTTAAGTTAATGACCTGAGGGCAAGTGCATTTCCTGCTCCTTTCCAGCCCTCCCTGGGCTCATATCTATGCCAAGGCAGAACTCAGGTTATGCCTGAGGTCATTAGGAGGTGCGAGGCTGGGTAGTGCAGTAATAATGATGCATCAGCATGGCTTTTGCTCTTAACTGACAGAAGTAAGGACAGCATTGCTTAGTGACATTGGACTTTTCCAATGGCCCACCGTTCGTAGGTTGCATGGAGGAAGGAAAAAAAAAACAGAGAGAAAAAAAGGCAATGAGGAAAGGCAATTCCATCTTCCTGCTGTTATCTCCAAAAGGTGGAAGATCAAGGGGTTTCAGGCCAGCAAGGAAAGGTTATAACTTCTTTATCTGCCTTCAGCACAAGCCTGGGCAGGTGACAGAGCTCTGAGGAAGGAGCAGCGGGGAAAACAAACGTGAAGGAGAGCAAAAGATGAGAAGAGCCATTCAGTGACAGGACAGCTGTCCTGTTCTGCTTCAAACTAGGTGTTTTTTGAATGCAAATACACCTGGGGAGTTAGTGTGCCTTGAGGGAACACCACCTACCTCCAGGCCGATGCTCCCCATGCTGGGAAGGAGCCAACAGACAGAATGAATTCTACAACAGCAGGGCTGTTATGAGACAGGAGGTTTGTTGTTGCTGCAACCCTACTTGTGCTGACTTACTTCTGTGACTATGGAAACCTGGGTGCTCTCCTCGATGTCAGGATGACCAGACAGAACACCAAGACTCTCTCCATGAAGGCACAGGGTACCTGGGGAGGATGTTAACTTTGTGCTTTGCTCTTCTAGCTCCAATGGGGACTTTTTGTTTAACCGCAGAAAATGTGTCAGGATCAGCTATAAGCACATCTTTAATAACACACTCCTCAAAGTTGTTCTCAGAAGTGGAATTCAGTGACAGACACCTCACCACATCTAAGCTGGCCACCTAAACTTTTAACATCTGTGAAACGTTCCAGTTGGAGAAGGAGGAACTCAGTAGATCCAGCACAGTCACTGGAGGGGGGAAGAAAGAAATGAAGCACTCTTTTGGAAGGAAGTCAAGAGGAAAAGTGGGAACATGAGGCACTTGAGCAATGTTCACCCTCCTCAGTGAGAAGAGTTATGCTTACTATACCCTACAGTCACAGGCTCTCGGCCCTGCTGCACAGCAGCAGCTCCAGATGTTTACCAACTACAGGAACAACCTATCAGATATGTATCAACCAAGTATGTTCTGCCAGATGAGCTCAAAACAATCTTATTTAACAGGGTATATACTCAGTCTCCAACAGTTATGCTGGACCTGCAATAATCCCACCAGGACTCACCTGGGAAGTTCTCACAGAGAACTTCAACCGGAGTGTTTCTCTTTGTGTCCCCAATCTTCTGATACCTCTCTTTCAAGGTGTCAGCCTGTAGGGAACAAAGAGAAAACATAATTGTGGAGAAAGAGTTCAAACATGAGATAAATGGCATGCTGCATGGGGAGGAAAAAAAGGCATTCAATACTGATTCTGGCTGGTATCAAATGATGCTACTTTTAACCATACTTCATCTTAAGGCTATATTACTAGAAATACTGTACTACCCTGTTACAATTCTCAACACACGTTTTCCACGCTATCAGCAGAGAATATTGAGTATTGCACTCGATATCTTCAATACTTGAGAGGAAGTAAACGTGTGGGTGTTTTAGAAGGGTTATCCTACCAGCACCAGCACGCAGGGAGCTTTTATGGGGCAAGAAAATGAAGCTGCATTTATTACCATGGCACATGAGTATTCTAATACGCTAGTATAGAACAGTCATAGGATTAGAGTCATTGGCCAACCACTGCACCTTTGCAAGCAACTGTAAAATTAGATAATTTTCATTTAATTTAGTTTAATAGATAACTGCAATTTGGGCATGCTGTGTTTTTGCTCTAGTGCATGCTGCACAGACAAGAACCAGTCTACATCAGTGTCACACTTCTCGCGACTCCAACGTTACTGTAAAATGAGCCTCTCACTCCCAAAGTGTCTCCCGTGTAGGCAACACTGATTAAACAGTTGGCTGTCACAAAAAATGAAGCAATTTTCAGCTACAGATTGCCAGCTGAAATCTCTCCTGAATAAGAGGTATCAGTGTCTCAAGAGCAGGTTTTTATTGTCTCTATTTCAGATTATTCTAGCTGGTCCTGCAGGCAGCATTATAAGATGTTTTCCCAGGGCGTTAACACTGATAGCATACACCAAGGGCAAAAGCAACTTGGAAGAGTGAAGATCCTCTTGATCTCTTCACTCGTTGCAATTCCAAAAGTGAACACATTAGCTCAATCATCAGGAAAATGATGGAGAAGCACAGATGCAACCTCCAGCAGGCTCAGAGCCAGTGCATGACTTACTACTAGTTAATTCAGCTGGCCGACGTTAGCTTTGGTTGCCATAACTCAACTGCTCGCAGTTGTTCCCACTGTGTGTGACATTTCATAAACTTGTAACCCAGAATCAGGCACCGAGTGGCCAGGATATCTGGAGGGAAGCCAAGCTTAATACTAGAAAAATACTCAGAAAAAAACCCCACATTTTTTCATTGAATTCCATCTGTGCATCTAAACCCACCAAACTGCTCCCATCGGAAACATGCTCATGGATGCAGCTGGGGAGATGTGTGCCATAGCTGGAATTTCCTGCACAACTGCTGTGGTCCAGCTCCGGGCAGGTTCACGTCGGAGCTCCGCTGCTCCGACAGCTCCACAGCAGCCACGTTGCAGTCCCTGTCCCAGGCGTCCGCCTGCCGCTGCTGCACCCTGGAACTGGGTCTTCCTTCCAGTTATATCAAATTGGCTAAGCCAACAGGTAATATACTTCTACCTAACATCTTCTCTGCTGCTGAGCTACCTCTCGTTAGGCTTAAGGACACAAAAAGAGACAACAGCTCCTGCTTGGATTTGGTAACCTTTCCTTTTCCACATTCATATTTGGGCAGAGACCAAGAATAAAAAGTTTCAAAGGGCAAAATCTGTAACTAACACCAACCTTCAATCCTTGCCAGGGCAGGCTGCCTCGGAGGAAATACATAAACATATGGCCAAGGGCCTCCAGATCGTCTCGACGACTTTGCTCTGAAACAGAAGAGGTCACAAATTACTGCGGACGCCGTGGAAATGGATGATCCGACCAGTAGCCAGGCTTATTTCCAAGATAAAGTTACTTCAGGAGAGTGCTGTTGCTGGCTGTAGCTCTGACCTCGTGCAAACCCATCTAAAACTAGCTACGACAAACATAAAATGCATATATAAAAGATCAGCTGGAAGAGAGGTGGCGATAGGAACTGTACCCAGCATTAGGTACATGTATTTTAAGAGAGGCAAGTATTAACAGCACTGGAAAGGTGCAGTTCCCCAGTTGCTCTCAGGACTGCCAGTGCTCCTGGCACGAGGGTGATGCTGTGCTGGATGATGTTATTTCCCCTGGACCCGCAGGAAGCGGCAGGAGCCACGTCTGCAGCCAGCTGCCGGGAACCACCGCGCTGCACCACGCCAACCTGCTTCCAGCCGCTTCTGTAGCTCAGCACAGCGGAATGGATTAAAAATAGACCCTTTTAGCACTGCTTTTCCTTAGAAAACACTTGCTGCTGTTGCCAGGCAGATGTTATGGTTATAAAGGAGTATGGGGGGGCAAAAACTAAGTGCCTGGTCTCAAGCCAACGGAAAAAGGATCCTTAAAATAATCTACCAAAATGTAGCCTTATTCTACCAAAAACCTCCCGAGGGATCGTGCAAGGGAGGGTGAGGAACCTGGGGCGTCGTGCGGGTTTGCTGTTGAGTGCCAGGGTACATGGCAGCAAGGTGAAACCACTGCTTGCTGAAGGGCCATTGCATAAGGGGTCTGAACAGCTCCTCAGTGGCACAGGGACCCCCAAGCACCATTTCACCTCCTCTGGCTTCCTCTGATATTTCAGAAAAAAAAAAATCCCTGAGAACATCCAAATGCTGCTGCTCCAACCCTCTTCCCAGGAAGGCACAGGCTTGGGTTAAAGGAGCTTGGAGACCACTTGGTCCCTATTTCTCTTGCCCAAATCCCCACCTGCAGGCAGATAATGTGTTGGGAACCCGCAGTACGGAGCAAATCTAGTCGGGCACCCACGTGCCCAAACAAGCCAGGCGAGAGCTGTCCCCGATGCCGCATAATTTGCAAGAGGAGAAAAAAGGCAGTGTTTCTGCACAGCGTGACTCTCCTTCCAAATTAGCAGCTAATGTGACTCTCAAAACAGTCTGGAGGTAGGGAACACTCAACAGAAGGAATTAGGATGACAGCTCCTGCATGTTGCAGTGATACAGCTGTAAAGAAAAGAGGAGGAACTCGGTAATTTAGTGCAATGATGTAGATAAGCTTCTCAGAAAGAGTTGAGAGCCCTTGTCTTTTGGGAAAATTATAACCCAAGTCCCTTGTTTTGTTCGGTCCTGAAAAGACGGGGGCAGATTAGTCTGCAAGCAAAAGAACATGGACAGGGCTATAGGTCTTTGCTGGACAACCACCTTTTTATGGCAAAGGGGCCAACCACACCTAGACCGGTCCCACCAGCAAAGCACCAGCACCAGGAAGACATCAGGGCAGAACCCAACAGTTCCTTCTCAAACGCCCCTTGGTGCTGTCCTTGCTACAGGAGGGACCGCGCTTCTCCATGTGGGACACGTGTCATCCCGGCTGAAGGAAACCTGCCAGCGTGGTCATGTCCGTGGCTCTTCGGTGGGGAACACAGAGGTTGCTCACCAGCAGAGGGTGGCAGAGCAGTGTCCTTTGGATATTCCCACCCCTCCCAGCACATCCCCATTCCTAGAGATCTGTTCCTGCTGCAGCTTTTCCTTTCCTTCGTCCCTTCCTGACTCTTCATAAGGTTTTCCAGAAATATACATGGGCTCCATCCCTTCTTACCCAAAGAGAGAGCTTTCTAACAGGCCTGAAAGCCCTGAAATCTCTTGGTTTTGTAGCTGGGAGTCTTCACAAAGAACACGCCTTATTTTACTACTCTTAGGACTTAAAGTAACTATAAACATCTAATAATTTTTTTTTTTGCCTTTCAGACAAGAAACATAATTTTCTAGCATGAAAGTGGGATGCAAGGCAGTGAGGGGAGGAGATGGAGGACAGGAGCTTAAAAGTAGCTAAACTGTTAAAGAAAAGCATCTATCACTTTTTCCTAGTAATTATCAGCTCAGGGAACACTCAGCTGTAACACAAAACTGGAGGTACCAGTGCACAGAGCTGTGCTATCCAAAGCTATTTGGTCACCATTTAGTCTAGCGGTTACTGCTTGCCTGTTCGCCTTTTATTCAGGACAGGGTTACTGTAGTTGTTTAACTCCTAATAAAAATTATAATTATGAAGCTTCCAGTTCCAACAGTTGAGCTCTCTCAACTCCTCCTCCAAGAAGAAACAAAAATGCTTCACAACTGTGGAGGGAATCACCACACTGAACATTGGACGAGCAACTTGAAGGACATGAGACAGCTTTAAGCCAAGCTACAGCCCGAGCTCCGTAGCACAAAGCGCAGCAAGCTCGCGTCAACCAAACAGACCTTTGCCGAGATGAGTGTTGATGGACATGTATCTTGCTGTTCCAGTTAAGCTCTTGTGTTCCCTGTAAGGTATGTGTTTTTTGGTTTCGGGATCAATGTACTCCTTCGCCAATCCAAAGTCTATGATGTGAATGACGTGCTCTTTCTTATTGCCTTGCCGGCCAATAAGGAAGTTCTCTGGCTTGACATCTCGGTAGATGAGGTTCTTTGAATGCACATATTCCATCCGAGATATCTGCAAAATTACGAGGGAAGAGTTATTCACAAACAGACGCCCTCGGCTGACGGCGCAGGGAGGTTTTGCTAGCCCATCACAAAGCCTCTCCAGCTGCGCAGTGCCGGCCAACTCTTACGATATTCTCTGAGAAATGCAACAACGGATGGAGCAAACGGAGGCAGGAGTTGCAATCTGAGCTTTGTCACGTGCCCTGAACAGACCTGGAAGGGGAATTTGTCATCCCTTCACCTTTTTCCAGCTACTACACCGTGCTCCCTCCACTTGAGCTAAAAGAAATATGGAAAGGCTGTTTTTGAAATGTTACCAGGAGAACACAGTTCTTGGAAGGATGCCACAGAGAATTGCTGCAGCCTTTTTAGTATTGATTTTAAACATACTACACCGGTTACCAAGAGCTCTTCCCTTGCCCACAGCCTTCCCTTGTTGCTCTGTGTCTCACCACCTTCCTCCCTCAGCCCATATGCTGTCTTAGACATGCCAGATTCTTCATGGAGGGGGATTTTGGGCGGGTGGAAGCCTTATGGTCCTCAATACTGATGAGAAATAATAACAACGACCATCAGTTGTCAACTAGAAATCGCAGGAATATTTTGTCGGACCAATTTTATTCTGGGGCTACTCCGAGAAGGGACGTGGAAGGGCAGGAGACCCTGCTCTGAGGTCCAGTGTTGCACCTCATTCAGCTGTTCAGCCCTTACATTATTTTTCAAAACACACCCACAGCCAGTAAAGTTAGTGCAAGTTGGCAAGAACTTCTCATTTGTTTGAGTACCTTATGAGATAATTCCAAGTGAAAGTAATTAACGGTTTCATTTACTTTATTAGCTTTTTATTTCATTTTTAATGCTCTAATTTACAACATGTCAATTCCTGTTTATGACTGTCTAGGTCCACGGTTGCCCTATGCGCTGTAGGAAACACTTTTCCTGGCAAGCAGCTCTTATAAAAAGGCTGTTAAATCTACCCACCTGCATTCAGGCTTTTAATATTACAAAAGCTATAGGAAAGCCCTCACAGACTCCAGATTTTATAGTGATGATTTTCAATCCACACAGGTTACGGCTGCACCACTGTAGAGGATGATGGAGCAGAGATTTTCCGATGAGGAGCATGTTGGAAGGAAACAATACACTGTTTATCCTAGCGGATAATGGGATGACCCATTATGGAGACCAAAAAAAAACCTTCTATTGATCAGAAAAAACAGCCAGTCGACAAGTTGCCTTCAACACAAATGAGGGTTTCATGCTCTTGCAGCTCTGGGCTGCTTATGCAGCAGGACGAATCCAGCTCCAGCCTCTGGTATTTCAAACCTGCAGTATTTTCATACTCCAAATATGAGCAGTCCAAACCCCCTGCAACCTTCCTGGAGCTGACCACAGGGAAGCACTCGTGTTTCTGGACCACTAGTAGGTGACACCATAGGGCAAGCAAGAAGGCAGGAAAAATTGGTCTGGAGCTGCCTTGGGGCTGGCAAATAAGTCAGTGCAAAGGCTCTTCAAAGCAGCTCACAGCACAGGACGCAGTTCCCCTCCACTCTTGTTTCAAGCAGTGATTTATTTCCTTCCATGCCTTGAGAAAATGGCCTTCCTGGCGAAGGAAAGCCATATTTTCTAATCGGTCATAGGCCGAAGTGGAGCAGGCCAGATGCTACCCACTTTGGCCGTCTGTCCGGCGTTGAACCACCTGCGTGACGCACCGACGGATGGGAAGGCAACAAGGTATGTTGGGAACCGACTCGAGGTGAGAATTGGCACGAAGGATTTCCCAGCCTCTCTGTACACACCAAGCTTTCCAACAAAGCCTGCCTGGCTTATTCGACAATTAAACAGATGCGTAATTGTGCCAGCAGCAATTACACATCTGTGGAAAACGCAGTGTTTCTCTTACAGTCTCATGGCAAGCCACTGGCTGAGACGACGGGCGCCTGGAAAGCTGAGAGGCTGCAGGAAGGCCCACGCACGGGCAGCGTTTGGAGATACTGACCTGCCTGCATTGCTGCCGCTTCTTTCACGTCCCCTTTTCTTTCCTTCCACATGGCTGGATGCTACCTGATCCGCTCCCGAGCGCTGCCTGCAGCTG